AAACTGCAATCTAATTGTTTCTTTGTCTCAAAAGATTAGTTTAACGCTTGAAAAAAAAAAGAAATCTTCGAAACGTAGCGCTGGCCACTTCATCACTGGACCGCTTCTATTTTCACACAGTGGTTGTGATTTCGACTGCAAATGTAAACAAGCCCTGCTTTTTCTCGATTTAGTTTCTGGGAGCAACAAGCACTGTGCTGGTCCCATATTAGTAATAATTAGCGTATGAAAGCCTTGGTCTAGATCTTAAATTAGTAGAGATTTTAGGAGGAGTGGGGCTAGAGGACCCTCCTCAGGAGGGTCTTCTACCCCCCAAAAAAAACCGTTATTCGAGTGAGAAGCTGTGAATGAATGAAGTAGTTTCTTAGTCGGAAGAGTCGAAAATAACAAGACTTAACGAAAGGAAAGAAAAAATGCCACCATCGATATGTCTTTCACGCTGATATTTTGAGCAGAATAGACCTTGATCTCAATAAATCGTTAGCCCAAACGCTTGTATGAGATCTTTGTCAATGGCTAACGTTGAAAAAATCGATTTTCAAGAAATTTTGCAGATAAAATAAATCGATTGCAGAAATATGACCACTTTATGGAGCCAATATGTATCGAATGTGCACTGGCATGTATGTGCAAACTTCAGCAGTTACTAAAACTTCGTCTTATGGAACATTTTTTATGGAAAGCCTTGAGCGTACAAATGAAAATAAAAATGTTTTCGAGAAGCAATAATGCACGAAATCTTCCACGGAATGAGGAGGTGAAAAGAGAAAAAAGGTGTGAACTCAACTTGAGCCGGAATCTGCCAAACCTTCCGAACAAATGTCTACTCATAAAGATTAGTAATGTACTGGAATATTTCGTGACAATGTTCCATCATTGCAGCAAGTATAAAAGACGAATGTTCAGTGCGAAATTCTATCGAATAAGTGGCGCTGCTTACAAGAAGCGAAGACTGGAGCTAAGAGTACATTTTTGCATTAGAGGGAAAATTCCTCGAGAAATGTGCAAAGCAAAGCTCGATTAAAAAATTGTTCATATATTCAGTGATGCAGTACGTTTGCTCGAGCGACGAAATGTGGCGCTAGCATTATAGGAAAAAGAATAAAGAATTTGAAAAAGAAGAACTACATGCATAGACGATGTGTACTTTCCAACACTTCATTAGAAGTCATCTGTGGCAAGAAGTGTGGATTTCGTACCAACATAGGGCTGAAAAGTTAAGTTGTCGAATCATTTGAATTTTCTATGCAATGAAATAATACTTGAATTTTGCACTAAACTTTCATCAGTAATATTGGGGTGCGATTAAAGTCTTTTAGGAGCAAAGTAGGCGGGACAGAAGTAACAACATTTGTGAAATTATTTTCGAAATGATATGGACTTAACCATGACATTTATCAATAAATCCATACTACACACTAATTCACAATTTTAATGGATTATTTAGCTAAAGACGTAGTTTGTACAGTAAGAATAAATATACAACGAACTACCAAAAATATTTCGAAATTTTCAAAACTAATCAGCTCATGCAAATAAAATTTTAGTTATCCATAATGAATGTGGTTTTGAAAATGACCCGCAAGTTCCGTACAGGAAAAATAAGCAACTTTCGCTACTCCACTACCAGTGTGATCGGATAAGAGAGTGTTGAAATAATTGCCGGAAATTACAACCTTTTTTTTACCATGCCCAACTTTCGCTAATTTCGAGAATTTTTCATGTGAGACTAAAACTTTGCTAAATACTTTTTCCAAAAGTCTTAAGTTCTGAAGGAATCATATAGCCTGTTACTGCATTAAACACTGCAAAACTTCAGAATACTGAGATTTCAAATCTCGATCATTATTATAACTAACTTCAAAAGCAATTTAGCGATTTTCTCTTAAAATATTAGGTTGTCCCGAAAGTTTTCTCCGTGCTCCCATGTCGATTACTCTTTTGCTTACTGAGATAAGGGCCAAAATTTCGAACCCGTGGTTTTTACTATGTCCAAGTTTGGCATTTCACAATCTTCATTTTCAACTTTTGGAAGTCCTTTGATAGCGCCCAGATAGAGTAAACAAAGTGCAATGCAATGCAATTTTGCGACGTCTATAGCTAGCCTTGAAAATTTCTTAGAATTATTTTTCTGATGCTATCAAATTCCACGTTTCTCTATCTTCGCTCCACCTGTTTTTATGATAGATTGAAAAACGGACAAAACTTCCGGGACAACCTAATATGAAAATTTTGAAACTTAGGGTACGTCAGTGCACACTCCTGAATTTGAAAGGTATTGCAAATTTCTCCGCAAAATTCGCTTGTCTCGCTAAGAAAAGGTAATTGTTAGAAAAAGGAGCAAAAGTTGCATGGTATGGTACCTGAACTGTTCAAAATCCCTTGTTCTACGAATTTATAATAGGCCGACTATATAATTTGGCCATTTTAAAAAGTATATTTTAGAAATTCGGAAAGGAGAACCACAGCGCTACAGAAGCTGCTTTAGTTTAAAGGCCTGACCTATCTGCTGGCTATCGAAGCTCCCCCAAAAGTCTCCAAATGAAGTTCTAGAAAATAGCGAAAGCTAGACATGGTGTCGAAGGATTATAATTTCCAGCTATTACCCCAGCATTCTCTCAATGAATCACACTGAGAATATAGCTGTGGAAAGAGGAAGAACTTCTGCGCCGGATACTGCTTGAAATATTTGTTTGCCTTCACTGTACGGGATTTGCGGATCATTTCAAAAACCTGATAAAACTTTTGCACCGACCTATTGATTGATTATTGAGCATTACAAATGTCAAGAGCTTCCTAAAAATTCCACTGGATATGCGTCCAATTAGCAAGATCCTCACTCAAATAATTTCCGCGACTGACATTATGAACACAAAACTTTTCACCGTGTCCTGAAGCTCCAGATATCTGGCTTTCACGTGTCTACCATACGTAAGTATTCCTACTGTCCTTCACTGTTAACAGATTTTGAACAGGAGCGAAAAAGTACAAGCCGCATTTTCCAGTTCTTTACATGATCCTCTGATGATCCCCAGACCGACCGTCTTTTCTTCAAGATCATTTTTTTCTTCAGAGCTAATAAAAATATGCCAAAGTTTACTGAATATTTAATCGACAGTGCTGAGCATGTTAACAAATGATATGTCGAAGTCATGAAAATCGCGATGAATTACAAGTTGAAAGTTGGGGATTGTTGAATATTTCTACTTCTATAATCAAATGTTCTTATCAGCAATACGCTTAGCACTATTAAGTTAGATAATCAGTACTACTTTGGAATGTTTTCGTAAGAAGACGGTCGGGCACCGGGATCATCAGGAAATCATAAAAAAAGCTGGAAAATGCGGCCTGTACAGCATCTCGCTCCTGTTCATTATGTACCAGTAAAGGATAGTAGGAGTACTTACGGATGGTAGACACGTGAAATCCAGATCTGGAGCATCAAGATTTGAAGCTTTCTTCAAAGCTGCGATCCCCCTCCCAGTGGGGATTTTAGTGCACGCGGCCCTTACCGGGTTAGCGAACCCAGCAGAGCACTTCTGAATATCGATTCCACCAAGTGGCGAAAGGGGACCCAGTGGATTCGCGAACCATGAGGTACGGGAACATTGAGCTAGTTGATAATACGATCACCGAAGTGCAAAGCAACTCTGTCGCGCCTCTATAGCGACCTGCATATAATTTTGAGGATTGTGTGATCAAGTCTATGATGTAATGATAATAATATAACCGTAATATGATCATAATCAGTTTGGTGTCACTATCGTTCCTGCAAAAATGTTTGCGAATGAGAGGAAATGAGAAACGATGCTGAAGAGCATTGGCGTCACCTCCCCTTCCCCTTCCTCGAATTGATAACTGCAGGACCTACAACCGCCTTCACCTTGGGTAAACCAAGTTTCCCATGTCGACGTATGGTCGGATTTTCATGCCAAAGAATGAATGTCATCTCTTTCGGAGGCCGTCGAGCCTGGTGCAGCATATGCAGCTCCACTCTCGAAAAGAAAGAGGCCGTTTTTATGGCAAGGACCAATAGCAGTGCCTTGGTCATGCTTTCGGCACTCGGTGCTTACACGGTGCTGAAAGCAAAAGCCGAAGGGCTGCTACCGGCAAATGAGAATAGTGCGAAAATGGGCGGCCAAATCCCATTTTCTGGAAGCTGTAAGTTTGCTGTGCTGACATGCTGCTCACCAATGACATTTGATCTCTAAGGCCAAACGCATCCGCGAAGTGGGTGGCTGCGGGATCGATCAATTGAACGAGGCAGCGCAGAGTATAGCGTTATGTTGAACCTTTATCACTTCTGTCAAGTTGTTTTTAGGGCCCAAAGGGAGCCGCGACGTAAGGAGGTAAGTTATATGTGTTTCTATGTAGTTTATAGTATTAATAATAAATAAATAAATAAATAAATAAACAAGGTATAAATTACCCCCACCCTCCACGGGTCCTGGAAGGCGACGTAAGGAGTAAGTTTATGAGTTTTTATATAGTTTAGTATTAATAAATAGTAAACAGATGAAAAAACTTAGAATGGGGTCGTCGAGCCCGGTGCTGCGTTTGCAGTACCACTGTGGAAAAGGCGGCCGTCATTTTCAGAGCGAGGACCGATAGCAGCGCTTTGGTCTTGCTGTCAGCACTCGCTGCTTACGCGGGAGCTGAGCAGCAAAGGCTGAAGCGCCTCCGCGAGGATGGTGACTGCCGGCTAAACGAGGCAGCGCAGAGTATAGCGGTATGTTGAACCTTTATCACTTCTGTCAAGTTGTTTTTTGGGGCCCAAAGGGAGCCGCGATGTAAGGAGGTAAGTTGTATGTGTTTTTATGTAGTTTATAGAATTAGTAAGCAATAAATAAATAAATAAATAAATAAACCATAAATTACCCCCCCCCCCCGCTCCGCGGTAGGTCCTGGAAGTTCGAAGGCGACGTAAAGAGTAAGTTGTTTATGAGTTTTTATATAGTTTATATTATTAATAAATAGTAAACAGATAAAAAAAATTTAGAATGGGGTCTTCGAGCGCAGTGCTGCGTTTGCAGTACCACGTGGAAAAGGCGGCCGCCATTTTCACACCGAGGACCGATAGCAGCGCTTTGGTCGTGCTGTCAGCACTCGCTGCTTACGCGAGTGCTGAGCAGCAAATGCTGAAGCGCTGCTATCGGCAAATGATGATAGTGCGAAAATGGACGTGCAAATCCCATTTTCTGGAAGCTGTAAGTTTGCTGTGTTGACACGCTGCTCACCAATGACATTTAATCTTTGAGGCCAAGCGCATCCGCGAAGATCTGGGTGACGGCGAGCTCGATGGCGACCTTCCGAGCCTACAGCAATCAAATGTGGCAGCGCAAGGTATGGCGGTATGTTGAACCTTTAACAGTTCTGTCACGTTGTCTTTAGGGCCCCACCATACATACAGAAAATGGGAACAAAAACGATTTTTTTGATATTGTCTCAAAACTAATCAAGGGTCGCGGTGCGACGAATGCTAAGTAGCGTCCCGGCAGACCTGTGCTATGGGGATCTCACCTGGAAGGTAATTTTGGAGCACTAATAAGTGAACGAACGGCAGCCGGGGTTATTCACTCACGGCTAAGATATTCGAAGTGGATCCCGGGATCGTATGTGCTTGCATGCTCTCGCGAGAAGACCCATGCGAAATTTATAGGTATTAGTATGAAACTGTGCCAACATGATGCAAAAGTGCGTTAATACAATCTGGGGTCCAGTATGGGGGCGAGTATCTCAGCCGTGAGTACACCAGCGCTGCCGCTCAGGTAGTGTCTTATTTAAGGCCCCATAATTATTTTCCATGTGAGATCCTATATGTCCGGATCTGCCTGACCGCTGCCTTTGAGGAAAACATAAATATAAGATGGACATCAACAATGTATATTTGCGTTAGGTTGGCGCACAAGTTTTGCTACTTCTCTAATAACTTTTTTGACTTAAACGCTCTTAATTTCGGCATTATATAGATTGCAATGTAATCTACAAGACTTTGCAAACCTCTTGATTCTTGATAAATAGTGGGAAACTTCTAAGCCTATTTCAGAAACTGTTGAAAACGAGATTTTACGTTTTTAAGCAAAAATGAAGCCGCAAGGAAAATATTGTGCATATCAAGACAGAATTGTAGGCAGCAGTTTAAAGACTGGCTTACTAAACTTAATAAGAAGAAATAGAATTTGAAGACAAAATAAAAACTGGCGCCCTCGGGAAGTTGGACATTTTGAATGCGTCACATTTGAAAAAGCATCCGTTAAACTAGCAAGGGAATGGTCAGAAGTCGAAGTGGCCAAACCAAACAAGCTGTATACCATTCGATGCAGTATAAAACGCTGACTTCAAATCTGTCTTTCTTATCTGCTTCCCGCTTCTGTGGACGAAGCTACAAGCGGTTTTATGGTGAAAAAATCACACATAGATATAGCGAAATTGAGCACACTGTTGCACTTTTAGCTCAGCTTCTTTCTTTAAAAATTTGAAGTGGGCTCGCTGCATGTTTTGGCCCGGCATTAAGGCGAACGTGGCTCTGCACGGTTGAATTTTCAATTTCACGCGTAATTTCTTAGCAAAATAATGGTCTTTAATGGCTTGTAGCTTCGTCCACAGAAGCGGGAAGCAGATAAAAAAGACAGATTCGAAGTCAGCGTTTTATACTGCTTCGAATGGTATACAGCTTATTTGGTTTGGCCACTTCGACTTCTGACCATTCCCTTGTAAGCTGTTACATTTTAGAATTTGCCAGGAGCACGGTAAGTGATTCGACCTAAATCACATTCACTTGTCGTTGGGATAAAAACCAAATTTTAACCTTACAAAAAACCTTTCCTTGCGGAACGGGCATTATCTTTGTATTCAACAAGCCGAATAACCCCCGGACTAAGTTACAGCAAAATTTGATGCATTCTAAAAAAAATTTCCTTGAATCGCAAACCTAACGTACTTTTACATGAGGTGGCGAAATTTGCAAAAAATAGCTGCATTTTCACCTTCCATCATAACTTTGATGATAGCAAAGAATGAATGCGGCACAAAAAGACGAAAGCTACATTAAAGATGCATACTGCCATCTTTCACTACATCCTTTGTTTTTACCCACCTTCTTTTGAACGGCTGTGCCCCATTCCTTCATTCCTCATAGTGCAGCCACCACAATATATGGCCCTATGTATCGAACGTATGACTTTTGGTGTTGCTGCAGTTACCGCTTCACCGCTGTTACCAGTGTTACCGCTCTTTGCAACCGTCTTTACCATTGCAACCGGGTTTTCGCATCAGAAAATGATCTGCCTTGCAGTCTCACTATTCCGCCTCGACGTCAGTCGGTGATTATAAGAAAAGAAATATGGTTGCAAGGCCGGTCACTTTCGAAGCTAAGCACCAATAACAACAGCAAGAACGGTTGTTGTGATAACGGTGAATGCAGTAACACTGGAATATAGCTTTGCTTCATTGTGAAGGTCGGTGAATAGCAGCTATTGCTTACGCAATAACCATTAGAAATTCCTCGGTTTTCTTTCCTCTGTAAAACGTTAGCTTTTCGTCATCTGGGGCGATTGAGAAGTACGGGTGTTATACCGTTCTTCAAGTGATTTGAAATCTTGTGCGTACTCTATGAGATATGTCAGGTGCCCATTTCATTTTTCAGAGAAAATCGACAAAAAAGAATTCATATTGAATTTTCTGAGATGTTATGGAAGGCAGGAGACCGAGCCGGAGGTTCGCTTTTAAGCCGGAAGGTCGGTGTCACGCACCGGAGGATCGCTGTCACGAGCCGCAGGTTTGCTTTATGACATTATCTATTTTATGTAAAAATAATGAAGAATTATCTAAATTGAGAAACCAGGATTTGGGTTAAGCACAGTTTGCCTACCGCCTTCCATGATTCTCGTCTACATTTGATCAAGGTCAAGCATGGTATGATGCACGCTACGCCTGGGGATCGTTTGAGGATTTAGAAAAGCAAGGATTTCCAATTGAAGTGGTACTGATGTTAGCGATAACATGATATCCGTTAACGTTCCAGTGAAACCATTATGAAAATACAAGCACACTGAGGTATGAACCTGTCATCGTATACGGCGACAAGCATGATAAACAAGCCCTACGAAATGTGATGAGTATTATTTTGATGATTAGCATGTCAAATAACACCTTACCAAGATTTGGCGATTTCTGAAGTAACCAAAGATTGTGCCATGTGAAATGGTCATTTTCGAACATAACAAAATTGAATCAAAGATGAGTTAAAGGCAGCGGTTCGGCAAAATCTCGTTTTCCAGATTTTCACCTTTTCAGGGCGTTCTTGACATGAGACACCCATATCTGGACTTTTCAGCGCACGAAAATGGCGAAAATGAGCTTTTTTCAAGCTTTCCAGATCCAAATTCAGTGAAGATACGCCGGAAAGGCCGCGTCCCGCCTTCTCCATTCCACTCCCCGCCCACTTCGCCACTGAATGCGGACCTAGAAAGCTTTTGAAAAAGTTCATTTTCGCCATTTTCATGCGCTAAAAAGTCCAGATATGGGTTTCTCATGACGAGAAGGCCCGAAAAGGTGAAAATCTGGAATACGAAATTCTGCCGAGCCGCTACCTTTAATTATTTATTTTTGCACTCTATACAGAGCACTACTCCACTTTTGCCCACGTTATTACTCCCATTTGAATAACCGCCAAACTATGAAAGTAGCCAGTTTGTCCCATTTTTTGCTTTCACTGATTGCGCACGAAGTGCTTTCCAACACTTCATTACAAGTCATCTATAGCAAGAAGTGTGGATTTCGTAATAACACAGAGCCGAAAAGTTGAGTGGTCAAATCATTTGAATTGCCAAGCTTACTTATCATTAATAATAATAAGGTGCCATCAAAGCATTTTAGGGGCAAATTAGACGCACAGAAGTAATAACATGTGTGAAATAATTTGCGAACTCGTATGGACTGAACCATGTCATCTTATATATAAAGCTGAATGTCTGTTTGTATGTCTGTATGTCTGTCTGTATGTCTGTATGTACGTATGTTCCGAATAGAAAATTCCATTTCTGAACCGATCGGGACCAAACTTGGCACACATACACTTTGGGCCCCGGCGAGTGTCATAGGCTACTTTTCGTCATCGATCGATATCGATTTTATCGATTTTTATCGATTTTTTTGCTGAGTTCACCTACGGGGCTGGGAGTTGGCACAGGGGGGTAATCGAGCATGGGGATTCCGAATACAATATTGGTTTTCAGGATTATCGATTACTTTTATCGATTTTATCGATTTTTTTGCAAAGTTTGAGCTACGGGGGTGGGAGTTGGCACAGGGGGGTAATCGAGCATGGGGATTCCGAATACAATATTGGTTTTCAGGATTATCGATTACTTTTATCGATTTTATCGATTTTTTTGCAAAGTTTGAGCTACGGGGCTGAGAGTTCGCACAGGGGGGTAGTCGAGCATGGGGATTCCGAATACAATATTGGTTTTCGGGATTATCGGTTACTTTTATCGATTTTATCGATTTTTTTGCAAAGTTTGAGCTAGGGGGCTGGGAGTTGGCGCAGGGGGGTAATCGAGCATGCTGATCATCCCCAAGGGGGGTGATCAGCATGCTCGATTACACCCCTGTGCCAAATTCCAGCCCCCTAGCTCAAATTTTCAAAAAATCGATAAAATCGATAAAAGTAATGGACGATCTTGAAAACTAATATTGTATTCGTAATCTGCATGCTCGATTACTCCCCTGTGCAAACTCCCAGCCCCGCAGGTCAAACTTTACAAAAAAAATCGATAAAATCGATAAAAGTAATGGACGATCCTGAAAACTAATATTGTGTTCGTAATCAGCATGCTCGATTACCCCCCTGTGCAAACTCCCAGCCCCGCAGGTCAAAATTTACAAAAAAATCGATAAAATCAATAAAAGTAATCGATAATTCTGAAAACTAATATTGTGTTCGGAATCCCCATGCTCACTTCCCCCCTGTGCCAACTCCTAGCCCTGTAGGTGAACTCTGCAAAAAAGATCGATAAAAATCGGTATAATCGACATCGATCGATAACGAAAAGTGGACTGTGACACCCGCCGGGGCCCGAAGTGTATGTGTGCAAAGTTTGGTCCGGATCGGTTCAGAAATGGAATTTTCTATTTGGAACATACGTACACGGGTCTAGCTGGCAGGCCCGGCGGAGCCGGGCAAGCCAGCTAGTTTATCAATAAAATTCATACTATGTAGACACCAATTAAATTACTTAGCTAAAAACGTAGTTTGTGAAGTAAGACTAAATATACTACGACTACAAACCAGTACGACTACCAGTTTTAAATCGTCAAAAACTACCCTTTTTTTAAGCCGTGGGGTGGTCCTAGCTTACATCGACCAGCCTGAACACACCTTAGGACTTCGCAACCAATGGATCCAATGCCGTGCTGCGTATTGCCTGAGTGAATCGTGCGGCATAAGGATCGCTTTTCGAAACACAGAGAGGCGGCTGAGCAGTTCGATGTAAGCTAGGATCACCCTGCGGCTTATACATTTGAAAATAGGGCAACCAGCTCCTGCAAATAAATTTTTTTATTCATAATGAATGTGGTTTTTTAGGAATACGGAAACGATCTTCGATACAGATTGAAGAATAGTTTGTAGCAAAATCGAGATATCAAAAAAAAATTAAACGTCATACGAGGTTTCCTTAGGGGCGTACGATCGTACAAAATCCCACTGTCTGAAAAAGTGAGTTGCATAAGTAATTGCAAAACTAATTCGGACTTGCGTTTCTTAGCACTTTTATATTGGATGAAGTTAAAAAGCCATTACTAATGAAGAACAGGAAATGGAGAAGCCAAAAAACTGTTAATATCAGAATGGAAGATACAGCAACGTTTTCGCTTGAAACTCCAGCTATTGACAGAATGCGAGACTCGAAGCCGCCCGCGTTTCAACATTAAAACGTTAAAGATAAAAATCTTAGCAATTTTATTTCTGCCAACCCTGTGCAGATCATAAGCAGATATTACCTTGAGTTGTTCATATTTAACTAGTGAATGCTAAAATAGTCTGCATGCTTATTCGAAAAAGTTGTGCAGGAAGCGACAAAAGCATTACAATGATTAATGACTCTCGCTGTGTAAGCCTCAAACGTGGTAAGAAGAAAAGAAAAAAAACTGGTTGGAGATTCAGTTGGCATTTACGGAGGTCTCAAGCGCTTCGGGAAACATGCAGATTTGAGGCAACCGAAAAATATCGCTGTTTCTGTGGAGTAATAACGAGCTTGGATTCTATTCCCATGAAACTACAGCTTTCGTCTTTCACATTTCTATCACATAATTTCGTCATTTACATTGAATGCTTCATATTTTGGATTGGATTATTTCGTTTCATTTCGAACTTTTTTCATGATTTCCGCTGCGGATTTCAGATTTCAGTCCTTAAGGATTCTGCCTTGATTTTATGTTTTGGATTTCTCACTAAACTTGGGAGTCATAAATTTCGCTGTGTCCACAGATCAAGTTGCCGTATACTTTCACAATACCGGCTCGGTGAGCCCTAGACACCTAGATTTTACCCGAGACCTAATGCGTTCGCCCGCTTAAAACTTACGACCCAACCTAGCCTACCACTTTGCCCACGCGCAAAAACACGGTAGTGAATTATTAACAATTTATCGAATGACAAGAAACTACGACACTAAAAACTACGAACTATTGAACTAAAAAAAACCCCCAACACGAGAAAAGTGCCTCATCCCGGCTATCGATGGTGCACGCCTATAAATACAAATAATAAACATGCTCCCGAGGCTTCACCTATACAGATCCGCCCGCGTCGCCGAATGACAGGCGCAACAGCCTCTCTACTCCCAAAGTTCATAAGATCTCAAATCTCAAAGGTTCCAATAGTGGTTTCTCCAAAATAATCCCAAATCCAACTTGAATTACAATCCAATATGAATTCCTATACGCTCGACCGCTACTGCGAAAGTGACATTAAAGGCGGGTGCTAAACTGCCGGGCACGAGCACAACAGAAAACTTGAGAAAAATTATCAATCCAAACTGAAAAAATGACACCGCCGTTATATGCTTTTGGCTGGCAACGCGCCAAAGCAAGCAGAGCTCCCAAGGCGATCGCGGCAAACGTGAGAAGTACCGTAATCGTCGCCGGATAGCGCGGCAGAAACCAGTGCTCCCGGCCTCCTACTTCTAGGAGCGCTTGCATCGCGGAGGCGAGACAGCCACATTGAACTCTTTAAGTCCTTAATCAGTGCGATTTGCAAATTCAAGCTGTTTTTCACACAAATTTCGTGCAAATTGCAGTCTTTTCGCGACTTGACTAAGCTTTGTAGTGTGAGGTGCTTTAAATTCTCTCTTATCTTTCTGAACAGTGAGTGACAAATACTTATATTAAGCTGCCCAGATTTTTCAATTTTTCAATCTAGTTAGTGCAAAGAAATACGTCCTAGACTATGTATCAACGCGTTTTCCGAGGTGGCGTAGTCGTAGGACTTGAGTTTGAAATTTTTATATTTGCGTAATCACGAGACTACGCTTGTCTTCTACAATACACCACAGCTTCCGGACATGTTACGGTACTGCAGTATGATGAACTTGACTATGCTTGTAGTACAACCTTGCTTTCCAACCTTTCAAAGGTTAGGAAACCGTAGTGGTACAGAGGACCACAATTTTTTACTGGAAGTGCCTTGGAGAGTGAGTTTCGCTTAAATAGTGAGCAGATTCGTATATGATGTTCTTCTGGTAGAGGATTTTCAACCTGAGCAATTCACAATCTGAGCTCGCGTAATTGTTTCGTCACAGTTATCAGAAGCTGCCCACTTACTCTCGTTGTAAACTCACAAAGCTTCGAACGAGTTTGTGCGCGGCATCCTAACATTTACTTGCAAATCTTGATAGGTTACGATAATGCAAATTGAGCAACATTATTTTTCAAAAAGCAATGCGTATTATTCCTGTTGTTTAACTTGATATCCTAGCCAGCAGCATATTTGCTCTGAGGACACCGCTAATCATAGCGGCGCTTACGATTGGTCAGCCTCAAAGGTAGTGTCCCGGCATATTGCATTTCCATTTTTCTGCATGTTTTCCTTTTCGATACGTAGAACCCAAATATGAGCCTTAAACGGGGTGAAAAGACTGTTTTTGGGCATATACCCAGTTTTCAGAATGCACTTTGGACGAGAGTTTCAATGGAGAGTTCGTAGGTCCAGGCACGAACTTGCCGCCTGTGATATTTTGCTTTGGATGGCATGCACAACTCAAATATTCGCGGTTAAGTCCCTAGTTCCCTGAAAAGGTTGTGTCCTGACGGAATGACTGCGGGACTCAAGTAAAATGCTTCGCGAGAAAAGCGGGACTCCTGCATTTCGTTCGGGATAATACTGCGCGACACGCGCTTTTGTCCCGAAATGAAGCCACCGTACAGCAGCTTCGCGAAGTCCGAGTTCAAGACTGAATAACGCCGAGATCCTATCAAAGGTTGTCCGTTGGACAACATAGACAGTGTTCTTGCCTGTAAGACTGAAAACACACCCAAAGTTGTGGACATTGAGGATAGTCTGACCATGCGTCGTATTTCACGCAAGTGTCCTTTACGCTCAGACACTGGGAGCGCTCCCCGAAATCGCTACTCCCAATAATCTCCCGCTTCAATTTTTCTGTCGGGATAATCTCGAAAGTCGGGACAAAACCGGGTGTCGCGCAGGAGTCCCGATTTTCTCGCGATTTCTCATTTTGTGGGCGGATCTCCTGCGGCACTTAACCGCGAATGTCTGAGAATGCTGTCGTCGGGGTCCCGCGCTGAACACGTAACCAAAGCCGTACGAGCGCGCGCCGGTTCGAGGGCTATATTCTTGGCCGGAGGGGTGGGGGGAATCAATCAGTCGAACTGGGCCTGGAGGGTGCGATCAGGAATCCCACCACGGCGACATCTCCCAGGGCGCGAATCTGGAACACTGCCTTTAATCCGAAGCAAAGGTGGTACCAAACGTATGTTCGCAAGCACGCTCGTTCACTTTTGTACATCACAATCATGTCCAACACGATTATAAGTAAGACATAGTACATGTTTTGATCCGTCTGTTCCTTCAAGACACCATGTAACTCGTCCACTTTCCAAGCGGGAGCCGCGCATCGTGCGCGAACGGTACAAAAGGTGCACCCTGTGGTACGTGTGAGTGCGGATGTGAGGAAGCAGAACTCATCTCAAATTTATCCTATAATCAAATGTTTTGTCTTACAGTTCTATGTAGAATGAGTCTTACAGATATCCACCTCAAAGCAGATATTTATCACTATATTTATCACTTCATTTCAAAAAAAAAACTCCCGGAGATCATCGATACATATACAGTGAGAGCTTTCAGAGATGCATATATGAGACCGGTAAAACTGAAGATAAAAGCAACTGTACAGCAATGCCAGCAGTTCTACCACAGACTAGTACATACACATAATTTCCTAAAGAATATTAAATGCAGTAATGGCAATAAAAGTCAAAGTCAAACCAGGAACTACCCATCTCCAAACATACTGTATGTTACAACACAGCTGAAATGCTTATTTCTTGGTAAACATATTTTTTTTCAAAATTACTGAGCATAATTCCCTGCCGTAGCGCCAAGCAACGTTTATTTCGATGATGCTTCAGTTATGAGTAACGGTAGCAGTCCGTTATTCTGCAAACTGCACCGTCTTCTTCCGTTTTGACTTCGTGGCCTTTTGGTGGGATCCTGTGGAACAGCCCATACACCACTCACACTTGCGCGATTGTTCTAAAATAGTGAAATTGTTTGTTAAAGAGCACATTACCCGTCATGCACATTGAAGGCAGTGTACAGGCAGATATGGGCACGTTCTTGCGGCGGACCAATCACCGTCCTCGCTTACTGTAGAAATACGTTCTGGGTCAGACCATGAAGCCAAATTTTTCAGCTATACATAATTCACATGAACTGCCGCTTAAGCATTGACTCGTACCAAACTTTTCCACCCTAGTACCATCTTACCCATATTTGCCCTGGACTTTGCAAAGCAAAAAGTTTTACCCGTTTTTTGGCCTCCACAGCCGCGCATAGCACACCACTTCGCATTTCACAAAGAACAAAGTTGAACACTCGCGTTAGGGTCTCTTGCAACTCTTCCACTGAACAACATCCTTCTTTTGGAAAAGGTTCCCTGCAAACAATTGTTTAAACTCTAAAAATATTGAATTAATATAATATATATACTATATAATATAATATGTATATGTATGTATAATACTAATAATATATAATACTGTATATAATATGTATAATACTCACTTGAGTGTATGTCGAATAATTATGGCAACAACTTGCGCACGAATTATTTTCCATTGCTCAGCAGAAAATTGTATGTTGGAGTGATAATATGCATGCCCTAAACGTCTTCCAAGCTGTCGTATACCTTCATCTCGACCGCGATCACAAAACCTAAACGTTCCGAAAATCTTTTTTTGACAAGCTGTCCAAATCAATACTGCAAAAAAGGATTTTTCCGAAATGCGCTTCATCAGTACCATACGATTTATACAGGAATTATTTGCTGATAATCTCTGTTGAGTCTGAAAGGGCTCCCCTAACTCCGCTTAGCGATAAAATAGACAAGAAAGAAGAAAAGTCCTTTCACAAGTTGTCTTTGCCCCTGTATGAAAAGCAAAATGGACGTTTATACCATATCCCTCAAATGAATCCTGAGCATGCTTTTTGTGGCATAATGATTCTGCAACAAAGCTACGCTTAGCTTCAACCAGATTGGCTGCTGGAAGGCGGGGCTTCATGACCTAGGAGGCGACTGCTCGCGTCCGCGACGCATTCTGCGCCTCCCTCGCGAACGTGCTCTCCAATCATTTTCTAGCCTTTATTAGATCGCGGAGCCCCGCCTTCCAGCCGCCGATCTGGTTGAAGCAAAGGGTACAATACAAGCGAACAGCGTCCATACACAGAGGTGAGCTAGAAGTGCGCAGAGGTTGAGGCCGACATCGATTTTTGCGTGAATGTACGGTAGCGCACGGTCTATGCGCAAAAGGGCCCATGATTTTTTCAAATCTGCATTTTTATAATCGGACTTACCATTTCAACACCTGCTCAACAAACTGTCCGATTTGCTCTCCTTTGTTTTGAAACGATGGAATACAGGAGTACAATTCACCATCAGGTAAACTTTTTTGCGTGCCCACAATGGCAGGCACCATTTCCGGATTTGATGAGCAAATCTGAACTTGGCCAGGCTTTTTTTAAATTAAAAAGATTTTAGTCGATACCTTTGTTAATATCTCTATCCCTATGGAACGTTTTACTGGTACAATCCTTCGCAAAACAAATTCGGCTACCCGCGGTTTAACCGGAACCACTCGATAGGAAGACGTGAGAGTCATTCCAGCCAATCGACGACTATTCTGTAAAAGGAATTTCAGTTATTGATGTCTGGGCCCTTCTGAACCGTTTGCGCGCGATGCTCATTTGTCGAGTGCGGCGCCGCTAAAAAAGTGGACGAGTTCTGAGAATCAACATGACCTGTGGCTTATGATCCATGTTAAGGAACATGATAGGCGCACAAATTTGAACGAGCGTGTTAAGCGCACAAATTGCTTGGTTTTTCGCGCTTGCGCCGCTCTGCCTGTATTTGGCCAATAGTAGCCTGTGCTGACCAATCAGAGGCACGCCGCTATCGTATAAACTCTTAAGGCCGCTCCCCAGTGAACGTCAGCTTAACTTGGCTCAAATATTGCACAAAAACTTCACCTTTGAGATCGTTGGAAATTTGTAGAATAACAGCCAGTTTGTGGCACTATGTATTACCAGTAACATGTTCGATGCATCAGTAAGGTAAAACGAATTCATATAACGATCAATAAGTCCTTCTTCATTGGATCTGAAAAATGAGTTGTGAATTTACGACTATCAATCTATAGACTGTTTGCGCAATAAGTGTTTCATTCACTTTCGAGAAAATGGGAGAAAGTGAGATACGCATAGTAGCTTGAAAGGACCAAGATATTAGTAAACGGACGTTTCCGTAAATTGTGGTCTATGTGCAAATGGAAGAGGCGGAGCTTCAGGTAGGAGGAGTTTGCCATACGAGTGCAGAGCAGTATACACTCAGCCCCGATTTTCAAAAGATAAATCATTTCTAATAGTCAGAACACAATTTTTATCTTGATGCCTTGATTTACGGATTCATTCTACGGTGAACAGTCAAGGCTACCGTATCACCACCCTTTACACTTTCTAAAACTCGTAATTTCGCATGATGCCCCTCTATTCTGCTTTGAGACAACTCTTTGCGTATTCTTGCACGTCATTTACAGATTATTAGGAAACTTAATTACTTTGCAAATGCCATCAAACTGTTCTCCCTAGTGAGATTAGCAGAACGAGAAAATCAGGTGGAGATTTACTTGCAACAAATCGAGCAGAACTTTTTCTGTCGTCATAGGGTTTAATCTGCAGGGAAACCCCTTCAATAGCTGCTTAAGGGCACGTAGAGCTAATTTTAATTAAAGGTCATTGAAAGGACTTACTCAACACTTTCTCCGTAACCCAGAAGCTCTAATAGAATTGTGTTAAACATGTAAAGTGTATTACACAAGATGAACTTGAAGTTGAGAAGCTGTAAAAGAAAAACATGGGTTAGAGAAAACTTTCATAAAAGTCACTTACGTATAATCGCAGAGGAATATTTCTGTTTATTTGAGAGGTAAGCTGTACGTTTCCCACGCTTCGTTGATTACATGCATGAATTGTTTTGACCGTCAAGGTTCCTATGAAGATGATGGGAAGAGGAGCACGAAAGATTAGATCCGGAAAGAAATGCACAACTGGAAAATTTTTCTTTTTAATTAAAAAAAACCATGTCTTTAATGACCCACCAAATCTATATAAACGACTGTTGCCATCGTCGTAAGGTTTCAGAAGCGTATGGTTACGAAGACGACTTCCCACTATCTCAAAGCATGGGACAAGTTGTCGCTCGAACGGAACCGGTAAGAGATTGAGCACAAACGCCCCGGCAGCAATCGCAGCGCATAACCATCCAGCCGCGAATCGCGCTGTTCGAGCTCGTTGTTCCAGAGGTTTCGAAACGGCCAAGTATCTGAAATTAGAGCTTTGTACCACACTGATAATGAAAGACGTGCCCGCACGCGCGACGACCAATGCGTAAGACGTTGTCCTGTTTGGCTGCCGCGCGTCCCGACACGCGCAGTGGCAGAATTTGCAACGGTATGGTGGAGCTTATGGAATTTACCAGAAGCGATAAGAATTTTACTCATCACACTTGGGGAAATGCTTTTTCAAGGTGGATACTTTTATATCAGATAAAAGCTGAATTAACTCTCCAAAGCAACAAAATAAAGTATTACTTTATGTAGATATGAATTCTCAAAAATTCTCCGTTTTTTACGTCATGTTCAAACAGGAATTTTTTCGTTTTACGTAAGAACCCTAGAATATTTTAAAAAAGCTCTCCATTGCACTTTAGAACATTGACGAAGACTTTTTTCCACGATTACGTATGCATAGGCCACTATCAAGTATACATACATAGGCACTCCGGTCTCAAGCGGAAAACAATTTGCCAGCGTTAACTCCTTTTGCAAATAGCAGATTTGATTTGGTGACAAACAGCCAGTTCTATTGATCATAAACCCTAGTAAAGAAAACTTTGAATAACTCTATTTATTCTGAGTACGGAGCCTACTAACGTAATAGAATTATGGGATTCAAATTCAACTAGCACTTTTCCTCCAGACTTAGAAGTTCGAGGACTAGAAAGTTCTTCTAAAGCAAAGCGATCTCTTTGAGTACCACTGAAAAAAGACAGGAATATTTCAAGAGTTTTTCTCGAGCCATAATTTATTCAAAAAAAAATTTCGCAATTGAAAGCAAAGTCACGTAAAATTGCAGAGTATTTTCCAGGAAAGATATGAAATAAGCAGGCTCTAGTTCTGTCCTCAAATGTCTTAGAAATTCGAATGCTTCAGAAAACTACCCCAGGTCCAATGTAAAACTTATGTGGGAAAAAAGCTTGACTCACCTTTCCAAAGTAATGGCGAATACTTGCCAGATTGTGCAAGAAACACAAAAGGAAGCGAATGGTTGTAACAAGAAGAGAATATAAGCCATAACACCATAAACAGGTATCATTCCATATAACAGAGATGGTACACCATAAGTGGCTGGAAATACAATTGACTCAATTAATTTTTTTTTGACCTTTCTAAAATGAGGTGTTATCTAAAGTGAGAACATTAGGTGCACGTTACTTTGAGAAGATTATTCGAGTGGAAAACAATCAATTTTTTACAAGAAAATCTCATCGACATGTTCCTTTCATATAAATTTCCACTGGACTTTTTTAGTGTTGCAAAAAGGTGAAAAGGATTTTTTAAAAAGTCTGAAATTTTTGAACTCTTGAAAATACTGAAAACAAATTATTACCAAGGCATGCGACAAGGTATAGGCTGTCCCAGATACAAATCATCCCCAGATGAATCGCCAATCGCTTCGAGAACACATGTGAACTATAAATCTGCAAATAATTATATATGAAATCTTTGCAATAGATTTTTGGTTTGAAAAAAGTTTTCTTAGAAACCTGTTTCAGTAGAAGAAGGCTGCCAGCTAGTCCGAGAGCGACTAAAATGGAAGTTAGAACTCCATTGTAGCGAAAACTGAAATGCTTTTGCTTAGAGATGGAAAGTTTCAGCAAAAAATATGATAGTATCACCTAAATTGTTTATATTCTTGAAATGTGTTTCTCATTTGTGCAGCAATATTTTGTTCCGAACTAGCATAATACATTTCAATGTCGAAACACCAATCAATCATCGGAAATTCCGGTAGCGAATTGTTCGCCATAATCTGAAGATAAATAAATTGAGAAATTGCTTTGTCGCGAATAGCAAAGAAACGGAAAGTGTTCAATCTAAAAATGAGCACAGAGCTGATATTCCAGACAAATCGAATTCAGCCATAGCCGTGTGCGTCACATCTTTGGAGCCGAGATGCTGTTACCGTCGTTGGAGTTTATATCAGAAGCACATAGGAATGGCAATGTCAGCATAGTTTAGAGTCTTAGCTCAGCTTTTTTTACGAATGCAAGATAATTGAGCTCGACTGAGGGATGAGGAGCAGAGGAAAATTCTCTCTGTCTTGTCCCTTGTGTGGATACCATGTGAGCATCATTAAGGGTAAAGGGAGTATGTCAGGAGTGCACAATGAACAAGGAATTCAAGTCGAAAAAAAAGGTGGTCCTTACAAAAGCTTTAGATCCGTCTGTGCTTACGTGGCACTTCCTACAGGAAACATATAAATTGAGTCATATTTCCTTCAAGTCAAAAAAAAACTTTTAACATGTCATGACGTGAGGCAAATGTGAGAAAACACAAATAAGCAATAAGAACAAGTTTTTCTTCAGTACCAGTGAATATGCCTGTCTACCAATGAATATGCTTTTGAGAAAAACGACAATTTTTCTAAAAGCTGGCTGACATGATGCGAATGTGAGAAAACACAAATAAGCAGGAAAAACTAATTATTTTGCCACCGAATATGCCTGTGAGAAATACGACGATTATTAGGAAGTTCGCGATTATCTATTGGTTCATGAGTCTTGCAAATATTGAAAAGCTGTAATCTACTCTATTTTCAAAAAATTTGCTTAATAAGATACAATTTGAAAAAAGAAGATTTTGAGCTTTTCATTATTGCTTAATGCAAGAACCAATGCTGGAATTAAAAGCGCCCTGATCTTTTCACTCTCTCGCAAAATTGTCAAATTGATAAGATTTAATTTTGGTTTCTATTGTTAGACGACCTTTTGTAATGGGGCATTTCTACAGGAACGTTCCTAAGAATTTCCTACAAAAATTCCAAAAGGAATCTTTCCCCATTTTCGACGCAAGACGAACCTAAGAATCTAAAAATGTTGTAAGTCCTCTTATCTTTGAACCTTGGCATGTTCTTGAGGATGAATAATTTCAATTGCTAGATTATGCCGTAACAGGTTGTTAACAACCTGTGACGGCATAATATAGCAATTGAAATCTAAAAATGTTTCTGCCCCTTCTACCTGAAACATCTCCTTGTCTCTGGTTCTGATTTGCAAATTTTGCAAATTTTCTCCGGTTTTAACACTAAGGTGATAGAACGACTCCAAAAATTTTGTGAGGCACCTCTCATTTTGAGAAGTTTAGAACAAAACTTTAATATAGACATATGATTCTCCAAGAAAACAGTGAAAAAAGTTGTACTGGCCAAATTCAATCGCTGTCTAGTTGCTTACGGTCTGGAGAAAGAGAGTAATGATGCTAATCGAGCAATACACGTATACAACACTGTTCTATGGAACATTGCTTGAGGGAGTAGGAAAGCTTCAGAAAGTATGAAATTTCAAATCATCCTATTATGCTATGTTGGAACTTGCACAAAAATAGACTTAAACTTCGATAATTCATCTTCTTCCTATATTCTAGCTAAATTATGGTGTATCATTTGATGGAAGAAATCACCTCTACGAGATAATGTCCAGAGCTTAGCACTCATTTTGCCGCGAATTTTGAGTAAAACAAAAAAAACAGTTTACAAACAAGTCCTCTCATGTTCAGGAGACCATCAAGCAGACAGTTTCTCGTTTTAATATTTTCCAAACTTGGGAAGAGATTGCAAGAAATGAGAAATCAAAACATCAATACGAAGTAAGCTACCATACTTTCTTGACGAAAAATCTGATATTAAGATGACATCAGCGTTAAGCTTGATGATACCCTATCTTCAGAGGTGCAAGGCGCATATTTTCGTTTTTTATTTCTTTGATGTAAATGCATTATTTTTGTTTGTTTTTTCATATCCTATTGCGCCGCAAATACACGCTTAGGTTCGGAATAGAGACTAATCGGTGATGTCAAGCTTAGATTCAGCTGAGGTCAGGAGATAATGAAATTTATTAGGTCGTTCCATAAGTTCGTAGCGTTTTCAATTACGTCGTCGTTTTCTGGTGAAGCAGTTGGTTTACAGCAAATTATCTGGTATTAATCGAAACAGCCAAATTTTTTCTACAAAACCTGCGTGTTGTTTTTAAAGCAATCCTGATGACCTTTGGTTCATAATTTCTCAAAGAAAAGTTTTTTGAGTGGCAGAAAGTGGCCATTTCGGCACCTGTGCTTTTCGCATTTCGTCCATATCCCACGAATAATTCTCTCTATGTATAGTCGGAGTAGCAAGTAGCAAGCAACGCTGATGTGCTGACACAATGGTGTTCAGCCAATATGCTAAGAATGTTTGAACGAAGTCTCAAAAGTTGCTGTCTTCGACTGCTGCAGCTTGAGTTTTACGCGTCGTTTCGTAACAGAATGTTCTCGGTCTACTATCAAGCCTTGAGCGATGAACAGCTTTGTCTAGGTGGTGCAAAAGCTTGAATAACCGGTGACCAGCGATTTTACGCCTTCCCGAAAAATTTTGGCTCAGAAAACTTCCTCATTCCGGCAAAACGCAAAACATCTCCACGTACCGTAAAAGTGCGCTCTTATCATTCTCTGCAGCGTCTCCCTTGACAAGGATTCTTGTGCATCATAATCCGGTAAACAGTATTCTTCATCACTCATAACAATTTCGAATAGAAATTTTCCTCTCGTAATTTCCGTATATAGCGCCGAAGATGGAGATGCCCCAAAACCCTGCTTTGAACAGTCACAAAACAAAGGTCATCAGATTTACTTTGAGAATAAAAAGCAGTTCTTGTAGAGTAAAATTGGCTCTTTCGGAGGGTACACACATTTTGCGGTAAACCTACCGCTTCACCAGAAAACGATGACAAAAATAAAAACGCTACGAACTTATGGAACGACCTAAAACTATCTAAGTTCCAAATACGATGAAGGCAGGCATTCAATAATGGCCTAAACCTTCGGTCATTCGGATTTTTTGACTAGAAAAACAATCAAAAAAGTCCTTCAAAACATGCATAAACCTCGAAGACAGCGTCGAAAAGACAAACACTTGTGGGCAGCAGCGCTATATCTGTTCAACTGCCATTTTGCTCACTTTAGCTTTATTCGTTAATTTTGTCCAATTAGAGATTTCAGCTTTTTAGTGCCCTCAGCAACTAATTAGTTTTCCATACACACTCACTTTCAGAAAGCCGTTGTATTTGTTTAAACATATAGAAAAACGAGAAACACTTGATGACGAAGGAAACTTTTCCAGAGGGAAGAAAAAGGGCTGAAGTGAGCTTTGTCTAATCTCGACTTACAAAATTACTTCAGGATTATTGGTGAATTGAGCAAGCTGCTGGGTTGCTGGAGGTTGCTATTATGAGGTAAAATAAATAGAAACATTCAAAAATGGATTTGGGCTCCAAATTCGCTCTATACCTCGAATCCTAATAAAAACAGATAAGATAATTTCACAAAAACTTCGGTGCTTAAATGGTGTTTTTACAGGAATATAGTTGGAGAAGTGATGAAGCCCGATTAATAAAATCTCTTTCCAGACTGACTTCGTTCAAGAACTCAGCAAGGCGCATATGCTAGACGCAAAAACAATGCAGTCCCTGTTCAACGTTCTAGAGTAAATCTGCAAATGTTTACGAAAACAAAAGACAAACTAAGCAGCTGAATCAAGGATGTGCTCATTAAAAGTTTTGAATGAGTTCTCTTTCTTATCTTACGATATTTGAGAAGATTTTGTTGCCAGAAAAAGTTTTTTTCTAATTTTTTATATTGGATAAAGCAGCTTATCTCACATTCTAGGTACCATTTGTGCAGGAGCATGCAACGGGGGTTTGGCTAAAAGGCACATGAGCTGATGTTAATTAAGTTGGTGTAGAAAAAATGCAGAAAATTTTCTACTTGTCGAAATTCGATAAATGAATCTAAATGAGTTAACGAAAGTGTCGATGCATTCATTCTTGAGGATGAGGGTGCAACGTAAATTTTACCTAGAACCAGGAAAGCCTTTCAATTGTATTTCCGTAGAGAGTCTGATTAGCATTTTCTTGAATTTTGAAGTATACTGTAAGAAAAATTACAAAAATTTATCTGTTGGAACGTCATTTGCTAGTTAAGTAGCCAGAATGGTTATTTTTTGACTTTTGGTCTCAGTTATTGCAAACGGAAAACTTCTTTTTGAATACTAGTGAACCAATAATCTCAAGGTGCTATTTGGAAGGGCGTTCGCTTCGGGACCCGCCCTCGGTTTCCCGCTATTTGCAGATTTTTGAATTGAGTCGATTCTTTATATATTAGATTAGAAAAGTCACTGCATGGTCCTAAGCAGGAAACTTGAAACAGGGAATTCATAATTTTTCTAATTTAACATGCTCTATTCCCAAAAACGAATCTCCTTGCAAGATGCCACTAAGCTACAATTTAAGCAAAATCATGTAAAATGCTCTCCTAATAGGACCAAATAATGAGGTTTTGTTAGCTAGAAAAATAATACTAATAAACTATTCTCCACAACTCAGACATTTATTTGGAAACCAGTTGAATCAATGCAGAAAGCGACTTGCTGTCAACAGCATTGCAAGTGCTCTCAATTCGCGAATCCGTAATGTGTTTTGAATCGGATACGGGCTATGATTTCGCATAGTTTCTGGGTGGTTTGTGCGATAGAAGTCTCATCTATATGCTCAAAATTAAATTTCAGAAAATTTTTCAAATTGGGTAGAACAGAGCCCGATTTGGATAAGGTGTTCTATATAGGCAACTTCTGTACAAAGGAAAATTATTCTTATTGTGGACTCACTCCAAATTTAGGCATGCTAGGGTTATAACATCATGTTTCCATCGAACATTTTTGCCTATCATAATTGGTGTTGAGTTATGTAGTACCAAAGCCAAACTACGAACTCACATCAT